GCGAGGCAACCCTTGGTTGACCTCACAGATTGTAAGGACCTTGTCAGCTTACAATCTCTTATATTTTTTATTTTTTACACCTACAGCACCTGGTCTTCCTAGATCGTCCCCCATCCAAGTACTAACCAGGCCTGACCTTGCTGAGCTTCCAAGATCAGATGGGATCGGGCTTGTTCAGGGTGGCATGGCCTTAGACTTGTAAGATTTTTAAAAACTGGATTTTTAAAATTCTACAATAGAAGATTAAACATTAGACTGGTTTTTTTTAATGGTTTTAAAGCTCCTTTTTAGATACAAAGTCATCTTAGGAGAAAAAAAGACACCTAAGAAATTTACTTCCATAAATTCCTTAGAAAATTGTGTTTTTGCCCTGGCAGGAGGAATTAAAAAAAAATGTATGAGTAAATTTTGTTAAAGATCATTTTGGAGGTATTATTTCTATGTATCTTGCCACCAATAGAATTCTCGAATGAAGCCTCAAATCAGGGTTCTTATCTGTAAACTTAACTAACAGCCCAATAATCCCAGTGTATTTTTAGACCTATTACTTTCACTTCATGTATCTCCAGCAGAGCCAGCCCCTCAATTAGACTGAACCATCACCAGACCATAGAGGCGGGCTGCAGGCTCTTCCTGTCACAGGCTTTTCCCTAAAAGGGTTTGAGTTTTTAGGCTTTTTTTTTTTTCTTAGCACCTCAAGAGGGGAGACAGAATGGATACTCAGGGACAAGACAACCAATTCCCCTCAGCCTGGAGGGAGCCGGGGCACTTTGCATGGAGAGACGGGTCTTGATGTGAAAAGAAAGGTCTCTAATGCCTGTTGTCTCCTTTCCAAAAATTTTCTTGGAGGAAACTCTACCCCATCTTCTAAAAGACAGCAAAGTTTTCAAAAGCGAAGTTCAAAAACCGGGCTGATTTCTGCCTTCTAGTCCCTCATTGCTCCTCCTGTGTAACTTTCAAAACCACACCATATACGAAAAGCAAGCGTTTTCATTCTATTTTACCTTTTGTATAGAATCTTCAGAGAAGAGACTAAAGATAGGACGTGGATACCTTTTCATTTTAAAATAAATATTTAGAATAATTTCTACAATTTATAAAAACTAACACAGTACTTTGTAATTGTTCATTCACCCAAATAGAAAGTAAACAGAAATTGATGGGCATGAGATAATTGAGAAGATATTTCCATTTGAATTGTTTTTTACTGCTCTGTTGCAAATAGGCTTGTTCAAGTGTGGAAAGATGTTGTCATCTATTTTTCGATAGCTTTGCCTAATTATTTATAATACGGTGCACTAATCATTATAATTTTGAATGGGCCTCATTACCTCTCATTGTATAGGAAAGTTTAAAGTTTAATAAAACATGAATTCAACACTTCTAAATTTTTCTTACATTAATATATTTTCTGTCATTGCAAATGGAACTTTCTGTGTTAGGTCATTCTTTATATTTAAATTTTCATTTAAATTTACCTTCCTGTGTAGTTTTCCTTATTAACATCATAGTAATTTATCTCTTAAAAAAACATATTAAGAGGTTTTACTATTTTTTTTTTTTACTGTATGAGTGACAATATCATGAAAAATAATCTTTTCCACTGTGATTTATTAGTGAGCCATAGTCACAAATAAGCAATGATACTCTTGGCCTTTTTCAGTTCTTAGCAAAAAGGCTACAGACTTTTCTATAGAATTAAGGTAACCTCTACTTGGCACTTTGTTGACATGCTCAGCAGAGGAGCCTATGCATTGGAAAAATTTGGACATATAATAGTTTTCTTCTTTCTAGGTGAGGTCTTTTCAAAATAGAATTGAGGAACGAAAGGAGAAACTCAGGACTGGGGAGAGATTCAACTGTTTTTGTGCACAAAAGACTTTGGTCTCAGACCATCACTTCAGCATTTCAAATTTCATGCTCCAAGATGCCATGAAATTTCATTTCCTCAGATGCAACATCAGTATCAATCCTCGTCCTTCCCCAAAACTCAGCAAGTTTTCCAATGGCTTGACATTTCTGTTTTGCAAACCCATTAACCAAATCGATGTCTTCCTCTGAAAGAAATTTTAATTAATTCATGTTATTTTCCTAACAGGAAATGACAGACAGCATGAGCAATGGAGGACCACAACTGATATTTAATGGAAGAGTATAATCAATCTTTTAAAGAACTGAATGTTTTTTAGGATTTTCATGAGGCAAGGATATACCAAAGGACTGAGATAAAACTAAAACAGTTCTTCCATTTGCTGTCATCTCTCCTGAGCACCCACTAAAATTATTCTTCCTCAATTTTGCCTCACTTATTTCTTCAGCTTTTTTTATTGGATGAAAAACTATCCAGAAATGTTCTAGGACAGTAACTTCAACAGACTTTCCAGAATGCTCCAAAAAAGACTTTTCATAAAAAAAGAGGAACAGCTAAAACAGAAAGATTTATATTCTATACAAGCACTATTTGACTAGCATGAGTGTTAGATTTGTAATAACATTTCATATAAGTAATTAAGAAATACAAATATCAAGAAATAATAACTTATTGATGTCTTTGTTTTGAAAGACGATGGCTTCAAGAATGCCATAATTCAAAACCTCAGCAATGCCTTGTAAAACATTGTAATTATTTTCAATTTGTGAATGAGCTATATTTCATAATTTATTTGTAAATGATAAAAACTTAAAGCATAAAAAAGATTTTTTTAGAGAAAGAATACTAACCTGTGTGATATTTTTGCACTTTTGCACAAGAGTGAAAAGGTATAAATGAATATTATTTAGTGCAAATAAACATATATTGATCATATTATGCAGATTGATCTGCATGTTCATGAATGAGCCTAAGAATAACATAAAGTATGTGTGTGTGTATGTGTGTATGTATATATACTATAAATATTGAAAATATATACAGCATATATTTATAGCATTCATGAATGTAAATAGTAGAAAAGAAATTGTGATACTGTGGGGGTATTATCAAGATTCTGTTCCCACAGAGATGAGAAAGCAATTGTTCAAGGCTTTTCTATGCCACCAAATCACAGATTTCATTTCTACTAAATTTGTTCATTTTTATTCTTTTTTTTTTTTTATGTCTGCTGTGTATAAATATTGTGGCTGATATTTATGGAGTTGAGTGATCTGAACAGTACAGTATACAGATAAATTACTTATTTGGCTATTTTACTATTATTATGATATTTATGTAGTAACAATTATTAATATTGACTTATAAAAATAACTTTAATCACATACTTCCACATTTATAATTATAGACATAATGACTTGGATTATTCATGATATTTACATTTCACAGACTTTACAGCCCAATTACATTATATAAAAGGACAGATGATATATGCCCCAAAGATGAAGTTACAATTAGCTTTCCTATAATTTAATTTAGTTTTTTTTTGTTTGTTTTACAATTCACATGAAATAATGCAGACAAAATCATTTTTAAGAATGCATTTATCTAAAGAACCTGAGAGAGTTTTCTGTAGAAGGAAATAAAAAGATAGGCTTACATTAAATAGGAAGATTCAATCCTTCTCTTTCATTATGGAATATTAAAATAGCAACCCATGATGATACTAAAGAAAGAAAATATTATAGGCAAGAAAATAGCATGGTCTTTGAAAATATTTATGAGCATATAATCTCTGGCAACAGATAAAGAACTCTGGTATTTTAAAATATATAACTCTCACTGTATTACATACTTTTATTTTTCCCCAAAGCTAATCAATTTTCAAGTCATTTTTTGAGTTACTTACTAAACCAGGTAAATTAACACCTTTAATATCCAATATGAGGACATGTTATAATTTAGAAGCAAAATACGAGTTTTAATTGTGCTAAGAAAATAATAATTCCAGAAAATAATAAATCTGAAGATCTTTTAGTTTTAGAGCAACACGATCATCATCTACCATATTTAAATCAGCTTATTAAAAAATCAGGTTGTATATAGTTAGAAGAAATATCTGGGCAATGGTTGTTTGGTATAGTTTTTGAAGTCTCCTAACTTATTTGTATAACTTCATTATCCCATTGATTACAGAAGTTGTCCATAAATTCAACCTCAGTTAGTGAATCAACATCATCACTATTTATTTGATTCCACAAACAGGCACAATCTTTGTCACTGAAAATCTAAACTATATAATGCAAATATTTTGTGTGTACCTGGTCCTACTGAATTTCTCTAACGATGTAGTTTTGTACTGAAAGAATGACCTCCAACTCTAATTTTAGGCGGCATTTTTTTGTAGATATGTCTGTGCAACAAAGTAAGATATTTTAATGCCTTTTGAAATAATTTATGAAATCACACTTAAAGAACAAAAGTAGGAATATCACTGCTTTGACATAAAGTTAAGAAGAAATGAAATCATTGCAATTATCAAAATAGTATACCAAGTGTATTTAACCAAGGATAGCTATGTCTTTAAATATAAATTATTTTAACATTTTCAGGGTTTAGTTATTTAGAGTGATTTATTTGGGATGTGTAGAATTCTTTTTAAGATAGATAGGGGAATTAAGAAGATGTTGCAGTACTTAAAATTTTTATTTTTACAATACATTGAACCATGAACTAGAATATTTTAAGTGACCACATCACAGTTTTAGTATGAACCTACCCTTGGAAAAAAGTAATGTGATACTAAATTAGGAAAAATATGTGAAACTAGTGTGGTGGTGTGCTGTAGAGCCTAGCTACAAAAAGGTGCAGTTATTATAAGCGTAAAAGAATAAAAGTAGACTCCTCTTGGAAATTTTAAAACACATATGTGTGTGTATGTACGTGTACACACACACACACACACACACATATACAGTCGTTTAGAAGTGGAACATGGTATGGTGACTCTATTGATATGCCTGTGTAATAAAATTGTGTGTTTTGAAACTACATATGGTGTGGGTTTTCTTTTCATCATGGTACAAAAAAATAGTTTCCCCTATTAGATAGATGAATAAATGTGCTATTCTGAGACTGGCAAGGGACAGGATGCCGTGAATGAGGAGGCGAAGATGGTCCTGGCTAGAGGATGTGGAATTAAGAAGAGGTATTATTTGAGATAGGAAAGATTGGAATGTGCTCAAATATATAGAGAGAGAGCAGTTGAAGCTATAGGACAAAATGAGCATAATTAAAAAGTGAGGTCCCTGAGGAAGCAGAAGAAAATAAGATACAGATCACAGGAGACAGAACTAGCTATAGATAGAGTGGATAGGACTGAGATCACAGGAGCTCTCGCAAATGAAACCACAATATAGACAGTTCCTGACTTTCGATGGTTTGATTTTTGATTTTCCACTTTAACGGTGCAAAAGCTACACACATTCAGTAGAAAGCATACTTCCAACTTTGAATTTTGAACTTTTCTCAGGCTAGCAATATGTGGTAGGATACTCTCGTGAAGATGGGCAGTGGCAGTGATCCTCAGCTCCCGGTCAGCCACGTGATCATGGGAGTAAACAGCAGATACTCCACAGTGTGCTGTGTTACTAGCATTTTGGATATCATACTTTGTGTTTTCGTATCCCATCATGTCTACAAAATGCCCACATGTGCAGGAGTACTTTTGATGAGAAGAGGAATGCAATTACTGATGCTCCTTGACTAATGACAGTGTATGTCCTGATAATGTAAGTGTTTTGAGTACATTTAAGGTTAAGTTATGATATTTCATAGGTTAGGCATGTTAAATGCATTTTCAACTTACAATATTTTCAACTTATGATGGGTTTATCATGATGTAACCCCATCGTAAGTCAAGGAGCATCTGTATTTAGAGAACTTCGCTGATCTATTTGGGTTCATCAAGTTGATTGCCACTGGCATTTAGGGTGGTCATTGCGCAGACTGTGCTATGCACGTCAGGGCATTAAGCATCTCTGGGCTCCACCACTAAACGCCAGGCGGATACCCCGGTTAGAACAACCCAAAATGTCCTAACAAATTTTCACCCATCCTTTTGGTAAGTAATTATAGCCCCTAAATTAGAACCACCAAGGAAAACCCTTGAATGTGAACCAGAGGAGCCAATGTTAATGCTACCCACAAGTTAGACTTGAACTGCTCAGGGTCACAAAGTCACTGTTTTGGGTCTAATACAGTAGCCACTATCCTATCCACATGTGATTATTTAAATCTAAATACAAATTAATTAAAACCAAAGCAAATATCCATCTTCTCAGCTGAACTAGCCACATTCTAACCCCTGAATAGCCACATACGAACAATAGTTATAGAATATTCCATCATCTCACAAAATCCTGTTTGCCACTCCAAAGCATATGGGGGGGTGGGGGGAGGCAACTGCTTTCTAACCCTCAGTACTTACACAGGTGCCTCACAGTCACCCAATTATCATTACAATAGAATGTGTGAAAAGTGTTGGGAAATGCTCCCCAGAATTTGAAGTTGATGGGCCAGTTAAATCCATGGGCTGAGCAAAACTAGCAAAAGCTAGAAAAAAATACAGGTAGGTCAAACCCACAATAAAGTCAAGACATTGCTCTAGAGATTTCACGTTTTTAAAAAAATTCTGTTCATGGAAAGATTTCACTAAAGTATTGAATATTTTCTCTTTCACAGGTAAAATGAGATATTTTGTAACTCCTATTTCTGAAGAAATTTACTCAGCCTATTATCTACCAAGCATCACTGAAAAATTCTACATTTCTTGTGCTGGGAAAGGTGAGGACAATGACATGCTGCCTTCTATCTTTTTCCACTGATTTAGCTCAAAAGTGGCATGTTTAGAAACCTAATGTCTTAAACTACTTCAAAAATTCTTCAAAGGTTATTTAGCAAACACATTTTAGAAACTTAGAGAGAACTTCTTAAATGTCACTTGGTTAGAACACAGTTTCCAAATAGTTTCAGAACTTGGCATCACTTAACTCTTTTCTCCTTCAAATCATTTTTCTGGAAACATATGTAATACTTCTTACTCAAAGTATATGACAGCCAAGAAATTCAATTATTTCAAATCCATAAATCACGGGTTGTCAGTTAGTCATAGCAGAGGAAACCAATTCAGAAATTGCTTGGAAATGTTGATGCCTAGTAAAATTATACATAAGGATTCTTTTTTTACTCTTTTGGCCAGGAAAATTATTTACTGCATACAAGTCTTT